CACTTCTCAGAGTAGTGAATGTCTTATATGCAGCCTCTCCACCATGATGTCCACTTCTCAGAGTAGTGAATGTCTTATGTGCAGCCTCTCTACCATGGTGTCCACTTCTCAGTGTAATGAAAGGCTTTATATGTATCCTCTCCATCATGGTGTCCACTTCTCAGAGTAATGACTGTCTTATGTGTAGCCTCTCCACCATAATGCCCACTTCTCGGAGTAATGAATGTCTTATGTGTAACCTCTCCACCATGGTATCCACTTCTCAGAGTAATGAATGTATTATGTGTAGCCTCTCCACCATGGTGTCCATTTCTCAGAGTAATGAAAGGCTTTATATGTATCTTCTTCACCATGATGTCCATTCATCAGAGTAATGAAAGTCTTAAGTGTAGCATCTCCACCATAATGTCTACTTCTCGGAGTAATGAATGTGTTATGTATAACCTCTCCACCATGATGTCCATTTCTCAGAGTAATAAATGTCTTATGTGTAACCTCTCCATCATGATGTCCATTTCTTGGCATAATGAATGTCTTATTTGTAGACTCTCCACCATGATGTCCACTTCTCAGAGTAATAAATGTCTTATGTGTAACCTCTTTATCATGATGTCCATTTCTTGGCATAATGAATGTCTTATTTGTAGACTCTCCACCATGATGTCCACTTCTCAGAGTAATAAATGTGTTATGTGTTACCTCTCCACCATGATGTCCATTTCTCAGAGTAATAAATGTCTTATGTGTAGACTATCCACCATGATGTCCACTTCTCAGAGTAATGAATGTCTTATGTGTAACCTCTCCACCATAATGTCCATTTCTCAGAGTAATGAAGGTCTTATGTGTAACCTCTCCACCAATATGTTCACTTCTCAGAGTAATGAAAGGCTTTATATGTATCCTCTCCACCATGATGTCCACTTCTCAGAGTAATGAAAGGCTTTATATGTATCCTCTCCACCATGATGTCCATTCATCAGAGTAATGAATGTCTTAAGTGTAACATCTCCATCATGATGTCCATTTTTTTGGAGTAATGAATGTCTTATGTCCACCATGACGTCCACTTCTCAGAGTAATGAATGGTTCTATACGTAGCCAGTCCACCATGATGTTCCACAACACTGAGCTCATATTGCAGTTTTCTCTGACATTAGATGCTTGCATCCAGTATTCCTCAAGATATTTTGTTGTAGTGGTTCTCCTAATTCCTTTCACAATGCAACCCAAAATACAGCATTGACATAATCTTATTTAAGACAATCAAAAGCACAAGGAATCCAAAGAAAAGAAACCAAATAATCCAAGTGCTTACATAAAGGAGACTTTTCTTCGTTTTGAGATACCAGCTATCCATGTGACCTGAATAATACCGCTCCACTAACAGACAAACTACTTGTTATCAAATTTTTCACTGCACAGCTTGATTCACTCCATCCAATCAGAAATGTGGGCGAAGCTAAGTTTGCATGGAACTTTTTTCTTCTGGATGTGTATTTACAAAATACAGGAACAGATTGCTGAAGCAATAAAATTTATTGAAAATTACTGTCAAATAGATGTATGCAATGTAAGCACTTATATACATTAATCACATGTTCCATTTAACATATCATGAGAAATATCAAAACAGTGTGATGGCTTTTCCTCCACCAATCTTTGGTGAAATCTTCCTACAATTCCAAATAGCACCTAATGTTTCCAATTTGCAGGATTTCAAGTTATAATACATCCAGGCATTAATGAAACAATCAGCATGCAGCAGGATATAACAACTGAATTACTTGGGTTACAATCTATGCAGGCTTGGTACAAATGTACATGCCAAGTGGAACCCCTGCTACAAATATACAACTAATTGTAAGGAAAATTAGGATGACAACTTGGTTTCACATGTCTGTCTTTTGTATCTCCCTCATAATATAATCTTTAAAATATGTTTACCTTCTGATCTTTAAAGGAAGACATAACTAATCAAAATCATACCATAAAAATAAAGTCATAACTATATAGTATTTTGCTTGATATAAAGCCTTTGTGAGAGATAAACAACACAGAAATATAATACATTACCAGAAAAAATTCATGAGACACTCTGCCATCTGGTGGTAATCGTGCACCGAACCCTAAAGCAGGAAACATTTTATCACTATCATAATCTTGAATGATTTCTCCTACTGCTTTTATTGCAAGAGTATACGCATTAGGTCTCTGAGGATCTCTGTAGTGGAGGGAGTTTGGCTGACGAGGATCTCCATTGGATGCAGTAAAATCAATAGCAACAGTAAAATTAATCTGTGTTCTGAAAGAGAAAACAAAAAACAGCTTATTTCAATTACCATCAACCAATAAGAGTGAACATAACAGCAAACAGAGAAGCTTATTTCTGTTATTGTGAAGCAATAACATTGATGGCACTAGATTTGTATGATTAACAATAATAGAAGCTTATTTATATTATTGTGAAGCAATAACAGTGAAGGTAATATATCTGTATGATTAACAATAACAACACTTATTTCTATTTATTGTGAAACAATAACAGTGAATGTAATGTATCTGTATGATTAACAATAACAACACTTATTTCTGTTATTGTGAAGCAATAACAGTGAATGTAATATATCTGTATGATTAACAATAACAACACTTATTTCTATTGTTGTGAAGCAATAACAGTTAAAGCACTGGATTTGTATGATTAACAATAACAACACTTATTTCTATTATTGTGAAGCAATAACAGTGAATGTAATGTATCTGTGATTAACAATAACAACACTTATTTCTATTGTTGTGAAGCAATAACAGTGAAGGCACTGGATTTGTATGATTAACAATAACAACACTTATTTCTATTATTGTGAAGCAATAATAGTGAATGTAATGTATCTGTATGATTAACAATAACAACACTTATTTCTATTAATTTTCTTATATACTTATGAAACTGATTAGTAAATGAAAACCACAAAAATTGTACAGTTGCATAGAATAAAATCATTTTACAAGATAAAACTTACCCTCCTGCAATATAATCTAAAAACGTTTGTTCCTCCTCTATCTGTATGGATATCAATTTCACCTGGAGCAGGATAGAAAAAAGTAATTTACTTCAACTTATAACAACAGTAACATTAACCAAAAAGAACAATAACAACAAAAGAAAGCTGGAGCTTTCGACAGGTGGGTCTGTGTTCTACAAGAGAAAAAATTTCTGTTTATCACTGAAGAAAACAGCACAAGGGTTTTAACATTTAGATTGGTTCTTTGTGATTACTGTCTTAAATAACTATTGTTCATTTAGATTTCAACAGGTGATGTTGTCTTAAAAGTTATGACTGACAAGTGTAATAGCAGACCTGTACATGTATTTTACAACATGCTTACGGCCAGATGGTTTCTCTGAGCTGGACTGCCTGAACTGAGGCATTCCTCTGTTGTTAACTATAATTGGTCTTATATTTCAAACCTTATGTCTTTACTTACAGAAAAATAAAATGCATTTACATTAAAGAAAAGAATAAGAAAAAGATTGGTGCCATTAAATTCAACATGTTAATATTTAGAAACATGTCTATATAGTAAATTTGCTTTATCAACACTTCTACTGCCATTGGCACATCTATGTGACAAACTAATGTTTTAACCTTGAAAAGTGTGATATTAACCTAATAAGAGCTTGAAATTTTGTACTACCATAAAGAAAAGGTATTCTCCTTCAAACTTCATAGTGTTCGCAGGAAGTTATGAAGACCACTTAGAAAAGTTAAGACATGTATTTAATAGCTTACAAAAATCAAATTTAAAGCTCAAGCCAAGTAAATGTCAATTTTGGAAAACAGAAGTAGAATACTTAGGTCACTTGGTAACCGTAGATGGTGTAAAGCCTGACCCTGAAAAGATAGAGGTTTGCAAAAATTATCTGTTACCAAAAACAGCGAAAGATGTTCATGCATTTCTAAGATTCATAGATTTAGAATAGCTAGAAGTAGAATAGCTAAGTTATGTGAAAAGAGAATAATTATCCCTAAACTGTTCTATTTCTATAAGACAAGGACCCCACGTACTTGGTTGTTTAATGTAAGAAACAAACTTAACTTATCAGAAGTACATCCTAAATCAGATGTGCATTAATTTGACAATCAGACTAGAGTAGTTATGCCAAGAGATAATAGATACCTGAAACTAGCTAGAAATTGTTCTGCACATGGCCTGGGAATTACATTACCCTCTAGTTTTAGAAGTAAAACTAAGTATACAGGAAGCCAGTTAAATACAAAAGTACCAGATTTGCAAGAATTATTGACCAAGAAAGAGTCACAGTTACTTCAAGGTATAAATGTAGTCAGACATTAAAGAACTGACAGACATATTAGAGGAAACTCAAAAGGTGCTCTCTAAGAAGTCAGAGTTAACTATTAAGGAGGTTCAACAGCATGTAAATCATTTGTGAGCTACAGCAGAAAGGAGTAGGTTAGATAAGTGGAAGTTATCTAATTCAGTGATGATAACATCATGCTTAGTAGTAGTACTATTAAATATAATGTTGTATAATGCACATGACAAATTGGCCTTGATAAAGTTATCAAAATTAGATAAACTGTGTAGATTCAAAAAGAAGAAAAGAGGAAAGCCAGGCAACAAAAAGTTGTCCTATTCAGAAGACGACGACAGAAGAAGAATGAAGACTGCGTTTGAATTTTATCCAAAAACTAAAACTTGTTGCACTTTAATTTTATTAATACAACTCTTTTAAGTAGTGTCAGTATGTATTAAATATAATCAGTATAAGACGGTTAAAAAGAATTGCATTTTGATATGAACCATCTTATAACCAAAGTAATTATATGTGTTTATGTGCAACACTTACCAAAGTATATTACATGTAGCCTTTATAGCCACTGTTGACTAAGGATTCCATAGGAACTGCAAATCATTACCGATTTGTAGTAATAGGATAATGTTCTTTGATATTTTGCAATTAAGTATTGATATTTTATATGTTGTTGCTATGATGATTTATGATAATATTTCTTATATTATAATAATGTGTGAATTGGAAGAACTGTGAAAATACATACGTAGTTCTCATATTTAATGGATTTCTAATTATGAGTTGTACTGAACTTATCAATCACAGAAGAATATCTATACAAGTTAATATATTGCATCAAAGTGTTGTTTGTGTTTTGAATCTTAGTCTCAGAGTCCATTCGTTATTCTAGCTGTAAACTTCCTCGAGTCAGTGACTTGTGTACTCCACTCGCAACTGTATATCTGGATTTAATATAAATCTATTGTGACTGGATTTAATGTCGAACTCCAATGACTAGCCAATACGGCCATCTGTTACACCTATCTTATTTGGTGGGAGGATGGATGGTAAATAGTAATTTAAAGTAATGTTACCAGATATTAAGTTGTCTTACAGGGTGGGTGGGTGGTAGTTCAATGTAATGTTTCTGGATCCTTATCCATCATTTGATTAATGAGTCAGAAGTGTTGTGAGAAATATCACAGCAGTTCTCAGTGAAAAATGTTAAATAGTGCTATAAAATTTCAATCTAAACAAACTGCAAATTTAATATGACAATTACATGAATTACTTAATGTTTTTTTACTGCAATTTCTTATAAACATTAAATTACAAAAATATATGCTCAGACTAAATAATCACTTGAAAGGAATGAGGTCAGTCAAGATAACAGGATGTTGACTTTGACATAGTGAAGCCAAGAAAATTTAGTGTTAAAATGCCTTTAGAATATTAAAAACTAACATAAAAATGTTCCATTAAGAGTAAAATGAAAATATTATTTGGAAAAACTATTTATGCAACAAAAAATATATATATGTAATTTTTCAAAATTAATCATGATGGAAGACTACAATCAAAGAATATCTATATTTTGGTTAAATATCAAAATAAATGACAAAACTTTACAGTTTCCATTCTGAACAAACTGACTAAATTGGAAAGTTTGGAAAATTGTTAGATATAATAATAACAATTATTTTTTGTGGTTTAACAGATAAATATTTATAAAAGGAGAAAATGAAATACAGAGTTATAGGTATAATGAGATATATATATATATATATATATAAGAAGTTTTCATACAGAACTACTTATAAACTAGAGTTCAGCATTCACATATATACTTCAGTAAAGTTCTGAACACTGTATCTTATATAATATTACACAACAGAATAAGAATAAATTAAAAAGTATTTCAGGTGATCTTTAATATTTTTAAAAATTCTTTCTTTTTCCAAGGATCTGTTTTACTTTCCTTCCTTATTTGTTAGTTTTGGTTGAGAAATCCTGCCTCCTATTACTTCTACTAGAGCTTCACAATATGGACATGACATGGCCATCTCTCACACACTTTCCTTACACTAGCAAAATCTTTACAAATTGTATTTAATAAATATGATATTAAAATGCACACCTAAGTGATGTTCTAAATGAAACTTAAATTCTTCTAAAGCTGAATCAATTGTAATCTTAATAAACATTATAAACAAATCTCTATATTTACAATAAGAAATAACTATTAAAATGAGTAAAATTAATCAAAACATGAAGGAAACACAGAACCTCTTCTTCTAGACCACATACAAATTTGTATATTTCATGAGCATTTACCACTTCTTTAGAAAAGTTATAATTTTCCTATACTGAAAATGCATATCCGATAGTTGCTTCCCTCCTCTTACAAATTAGCTATTCTCGTCTAGTGTTGCTCTCTATATGCAAATATTTTCTTTACACATGCCACAAGCCTTCTGCTCCCCCCTATTGGAATTGATTGATTTCACCATGTCTCTTATGTAAATCATCATGTTGCACTTCACCACCAATAGGAGCATGATATAATCACGTGGTGCATGTGACTCCCTCTATACACCTCTACTAAACTATCACTTCGAGGTTTGGCAGAAGAAATAAGAACCGGAGGAAAGTGGGGAGGAAGAGGAAATACATTTTCAGTATTGGATAATTATAACTTCCGATACAGTACTTCCCTCATCTCACAAGATTAGCTAGAATCCCACATTAATTAGGAGACAGGACCTATGTGGGGGAATGACAGAAAAAACCCCAAAAACATCTGAATGATACCCCTGAAAATGAGAGGGGTCAGATCTGAATATCTGATTAGGGTAAACGCACCACTTCTGTACCAGGTATACTCTTTGGCCATCCGTGAAATGTGTTGTAGATAAGGACAGAAAAAGTGAGAAGCACATCCAAGTGGGAGAGAAGTGTGGCAGGATAGTAATCCTAACAGTGTACATATATATGTAACTCAATCCCACAAAGTATAAAAAAAAAGTGGGTAAAATAATGGATGTGCCAATAGGTGAAGAGTGGCTAGGAGCAACGGACCGTACTCAGTAAGTCAACTACATTCAAAACCCATGCTGCTGTGAACCGACATACACGTAAGGGTAGGATGAGGATCATATGTCTTCCCCTCAAGTTCAACAGATCAGAGGGAATCTGGAACCACTCCAATTCCTGAGCATGACACATGTATTAGCTTTAATCGATCAATCCGGGTAGCAGACATCCGGAATTGAAAGGATGTCTATATAATGTAAATTAACTCCCCCAACAGTGAGACTGACCGAAACCATCCAAGAAGCAATAACATCCTTGAATTAAGATACAAGGAGGGATAGCAAAAAAGACAGAACTGGAAAAATCCCCCTTTATCTCCACTGTGACCCACTACACAGAAGGAGTATGGGAGAGGGAAGAAGATAGACACTCTAAACATGTGTGAGGGCTCATGTTGATTGATTCTACTCTAAATCCAAAACCCAGCCATAGGGTACTGACATCCACACAGGTGGGAGGGAGGGCTAAGGGCTCCCCATCAAAGGGGTGAACTGAATTTTGATGTCTCGCTCCTTTGGAAATGTTTATTGAAAATTGGAGGGTATCATGTCAACTATACCCGCAGAACACCACTGCTCTACTCTGCACTGAATTGTCACAGCCATCTTTGTGTGCAACCCATTCAGGAGGGTGCCTCCATGGTTGACCACCCCAATGGCTTGGAACTGGAAAGTGGTAAGGACTCCCATATTCCACTAGAAGAAAGGGGGTGAGAATGTGGTGGAGAGTTTGGGAAAACATCATCACCTGAGGCAATGCAATGGGTGACCACAAAACCCTATTTTGAAAAGGAGTCCATACCGTTTTCTTCAATACAAGGCATGGCAGGGAAGGGCAGCTATCTCCTTCTGCTTTACCCATGCAGTCCAAGGGTGGTACGGTTGGAAATGGGCAAGTTTATGAAGCAAGAACATTGAGAGGTTATTTACCTACAAGCAATCTTGTGGAACACCCCATCTCAACAGTGAGCATTGCAAAGCCATGGATGATAAAGTGTGAGTCAACATGGCTGTACAGTGCAGATTTCAAGTTAAAGAATACCTAGTCAGGCACCACTCGCCACAGAGCAGGATCCATATAATGAGGGAATGAAGCAAGGGTCCCTGAAAGGAAAAGCATAAATATAAACTTACCCAGTCAAAGTCACACTGAAATCAGTAGAATGGTCACAGGTGGATGAAAAAAACTGACAAAATAAACCACAATATGGTGTAAATAAAGAGAGACAAACACAGTAAGCGTAGTCCATATGCTTGACTGTAGGATTTCCTCCAACGGCCAACAAAGGCCAGATGCAAAGGAAAGGGTGAGGTGTCTGTTGAGAAGACACCTGGAACAAATTCTGGGAGGAAGAAGAAGCCAATCGAATCAACAGGTGATCCCAATTAGTGAGGGTAGAAGGGGAAAGATCCCAAACAGAGGAAGATTGCAAAATGATAAGAGCCAGGAAAAGATACCACAGTAGGAAGCTGTGTGGGCAAAATAAAAAGAAGAGTACAGACCAGACACAGAAGTCTATCCTGATCAGGGCGAGGGTAGAGATGAGAAATATTAGGAAGGGAATAGGTGAAAAGGAGGAGTTACCCTCCTTAGTCATGGTAGTATTTGGGAGGAAGGAACTATTTGGATAAAGGAGAAATAGTTAGAGGTAGTAAAACACACATGAAATGTCCATGGCAAACGAATCAGACCTTTGACATCCACAGGCTAAGAGGAGAAGGAAACACTTTGTAAAGATAAGGTGAAACACGGAATATGAGGTGGTTCAAACGGAAGTAAAGTGAGGGAATTGAGTCCACCTTAATATCCCAGTCTGGAAGAGTAGACCATCTGGGAGAACGAGAAATCTGGAAGGAATACAGGAACATGGTAAGGATAGGTGAACATAGGATAGTACATGGTAAGGATAGGTGAACATAGGATAGGAACATGGTAAGGATAGGTGAAGCAAAAACACGATGGTATAGAGAAAACGAAAAGTATGGGATAACACAAGAGCAAGGAAACCGATGACCCCCAGTCAAAAACTCACTACTTGAGCCAAGTAGGATGGTCCGCGGGGAATCCCTGAGTGACAGACCAACTGCAGAACACATTCAATAGGTGCCGATACACTTCCACCGAAGAAAGACGTATGGAACAAGCTAAGAGGAAAGCTACGTGATGGGAGAAAACTTGATCTCCTTGCCAAGGACTGGATAAAACCAGATTTGAAGATAAATTGCAGGACAGGCTGGATGTAAAACAGGTGACCAAGGCGGATGAAGAAGGGAGGGAGACAAAGGAAGAGGTAATGGAGAGAAAAGTTGCAGTTGTTGGAAATCGTGGAACTATGGTGGAGCTGGCCAATAAGGAGCAATCAGAAGAACTCGATATGTGAGATCATGAGGGAAATGAGAGACAACTCCATCAGATATACAATGAGGCAGGAAAGACTATCTGCTACAAGATGGAAAATACATGATATGTGACGCACAGAGATGAATGAGATGCGCATGTGCCCAATATGGTAAATCTGACATTTGAAAACAGAGATCCTGACAGGGTGCCCCCTTGGGGATTGTGATATGCTACCACCTATGCATTGTCAGAAAGAATCATCACCAGAAAATGTCTAGCAGGAGGAAGGAAGCGAGTCAAAGCCTGATGGATTGCAAGAACCTAAAGGATGTTGATATGCGTGGACCTTTCATCTACATACCAATGACCCAAAGCCTCCTGGTGATTGACCAGTGCACCCCAGCCCAGAAGGGATACGTCCATGATCAGATGTAAATCAGGACAAGGGGGAAGAAGTGGGATGCCCACCAATGTATGGGTCTTGTCCAACCAATGCAGATCCTCTATCAGGTAGGAGGAAGGGTAACAGGAGTTGAAAGGGGATCCCAAGCCAGATTCCAATGATCACGAATCCCACTGAAAGGATTGCATATGTAGCCGACCAAGAGGGGACCAATGATGTCATTGTGACCACATCTCCCAAAATGATAGAACCTCACGAGCAGAAGTGAGGAAGCTGAAAGGGCATGGTGAACTAACAGTACCTTGAAACGAAGACATAGAGGAGAAGGGTGTGCCCAACTGAGATGAGCATCAAAAGGTACATCCAAGTGGATGAGATATTGGGGAGGTTGGAGGAAGGACTTCTCCAAATTGATGAACCCATCCACCCAAGCAGCCACTAGAAGGAGCTGATGAGTATGGCTGGCCAACTCCCATTCAGAAGGAGCTAGAAGATGCCAGTTATCCATATAATGATGGAATCATGAACTCAGAGCTTGAAGATGGCAAGCAAAGTTCTGACCACCCAACAGAAAACATAAGGGTTGGAAGCATGCCCGAGGGGTAGTGTGCAAAAGTGATAAACCAACCTATGATGGTTGAAGAGAAGATACAGGCAAGGCAGTGGTAATAGAGGGATGTGGAGATAAGCATTGGTGACATTCATTTTGGTCATTCATAAGCCTGCAGAAATGCCCACCCTAGGGAGAGAAATTACTCCATGGCAAAATGGAGCAGTGATTGAAGGGGGAAGATTTCGATGACAGGCCTCCAGTCTCTGGTGTACTTGGGAACAACAAAGAGTCTCGAACAAAAATATGGGGAAGTATGTAGAACATGTATAATGGCCTGCAAAGATAATAGTTCCAGAACTGCCTCCGACAGATGCTGGCTGGTCATGAGATCCTGAGGCAGAGGGAAGGAACAGATATAAGAGACATGTGAGGTGGGAAAAAGATGGGATCAGGAATCTTTCTGAGAAAACTTGAAGAACCCAAAGATTCATGAAGAAAGGACGCTAGTGAAAAAGAAAACCGGCAAGCCGAGCTCTTGCCAGACAAACCCACTGGGTAGTCACTGATACTGTTGGCAACATCACATGTGCCATCGCACAAATGAGGAGATGAAACACCCTGAGAAGAAAGGACAGGTTAAAAGTGGGGAAGGGAAGTGACAGGAAATGGTAACTGGTGCCCTATTGGGTTCTGACTTTGACAAATGGGCAACAAGGTTGGAAAGGGTAGAATGTTGTTGTACTGATGCATCCTGTGATTCCATAGACTCAGGGGTTGTGTTAAAGGCGTATCACTGCAAAAAGAATAAGATGATAATAAAAGGGTGCAAGTTAAGGTTGTAGCATGACTAAGAAGGTACCAAAAACAAAGAAAACATGCATGTAAAGCTGGAGGCCAAGACAACAAAAGAGCCTACACGGAAGAAGAAGGAAGAAGAAGTCTGCAGAAAACCCATCAGGATTTCTGTGGGGAGCCTCAGAGAAGAGATGGTATGTAAAAAGAAACCTAAAGAGGTGTGAGGGTAAGACAAAGGCTGGAAATTGGCCATGGGTAAGACGTACAGTAGATTCGGGGGCCGCACCCAAAACAGGCAAAATAGACTTAAAAATTGCTAGTCCAGAAACAAAATAGTCTGCATGATGATATGCAAGAATAAACTGATTCGAAGCCTGTGGGGGGCAAGGCATACCAATACCATCACGGAATTGTGAGGCAATTAGTCAGCATTAAGCCGAATATCCAAGGAGGAGGAAAACACAATAGAGGTGGGAAAAATTGGTCAAGTAGTAAGGAAGGGCGTGGGTCATATGATATACGGGAAAGGGATGAACATCACATACCTGAGATACTAAATCCAAAAATACCATATTAGGCCTAACTGACTTCTCAGGTAGGGCATGAGAAGGCACGGCAAAATCAGGTGTATGTTGGCGATCCAGGTACTTGTCTGCCTGAACAGGCTCACCTAGTTCTGAAGGAAGTGGGGCATGGTCTGGTGACAGAGGTTGACCCATGTAATGTTCAATCTCCTGGCAGGTTGCCCACACCTGAAGCCTGAGACACAGCACTAGTTGCAGGTGTAACCCCGAAGTGGTGACATGAACTTTGGAATTCATAATGAGGAAGTGTGAAACAAGGGCAGCACTGTACAAGAATAGCTAATCTTGTGAGAGGAGGGAAGTACCATATCAGAATTGATCTTGTAGACCTAAGCATTTACTTTGAATAAAGCATCTTTAGGGACAGATTATTTTTACTATAAACTTTCTAGCCAAAAAGATCAATTAGCATTACAACTTCCTTCTATTTTCTCAACATAATTTTTATCATTTCACATACAATTTTTGTTCTAATTAGTATAATTATTATTTTATTATGTATCATTAATATGTATGTTAATGTTATTTATTATAAAAATATTTTATATGTACTTTTACCTTGGCAAACAGCTTAAAAAATCTTTAAAATAATATATTTTCTGAACATTAAGTTTTAGAAAATTATAAAGAAACAAGTAAAAAATACTTACCACACCAGAATTTTTATAACTTTTCTTCTTTGCTTTTTTCTTTTTATTGATACACTAACAGAAAATATTGGATGTATTAAGTGAACATATTGAAATAAAATTATCATAACAATACAAACACAGAAATGGAACTGACAAAAATACAAAAACAAAAAGAAAGCTGATGAAAATACAAAAACAAAAAGAAAACTGACAACAATACTAAAACAATACAAAAACAAAAAAAACTGACAACAATACTAAAACAATACAAAAACAAAAAAAAAACTGACAACAATACTAAAACAATACAAAAACAAAAAGAAAACTGACAAAAATACTAAAACAATACAAATGCAAAACCAACTAAAATACAAAAACAATACAAATACAAAAAATGACAAAAACAATATAAATACAAAACCAACAAAAATACAAAACAATACAAAAACAAAACCAACAAAAATACAAAACAATACAAATATAAAAAAAAAAATAGACAAAAATATTAAAACAGCATAGACATGGGAGGGGAGAAAAAATCAAATATGAACATGAAAAAAGAACAGAAAAATATCTACAACAAAGCAAAAGAAACATGAAGTGAGAATGTAAGAGTACAATTTCCAAACACTGAAACAGCTACTATGAAGTATTTTCAAGTTTACTCCTGTACATGATGTTAACTTGAGGACATGTTAAGAAAGTGTTGACACATGAACATGCATTAACAAACATTATGTCATAAAAAAACACAACTTGTTAGCACTAGAGAAACTTATTACTTTAAAGCACCCAGCCTTACAGCATAAGCTCAAGCTTAATTACCACACACACATATCAGCACCCATCCTTACATTATAAACTATAGTTCAAAGACCAGAAACATATCAGCACCCAGTCTTACAATATAAACTACGGCTTAATGACCAGATATGTATCAGTACCCAGCCTTACAATATAAACTATGGCTTAATGACCAGATACGTTTCAGCACCCAGACTTACATTATAAATTATGGCTTAATGACCAGATACATATTAGTACCCAGCCTTACATTATAAACTTTAGCTTATTGAACAGATACATATCAGCACCTAGCCTTACAGTATAGACTATAGCTTAATTACCACATACATATCAGCACCCAGCCTTACAGTATAATCTATAGCTTAATGACCAGATACGTATCAGCACCTAGCCTTACAGTATAATCTATAGCTTAATTACCGCATACATATCAGCACCTAGCCTTACAGTATAATCTATAGCTTAATTACCGCATACATATCAGCA